CCCGGGCAGGGACGTCCGCGCCTGGCGTGGAGCGCTGGCCCGCGGCGCCCCGCCACGGTTGGCAGCCACGGCTCTGCCCGGGCTGCGCTGAGCCCTTGAGTTTCACAGTTGCATCGGGAGGAGGAGCTGGTGTGTGTTCTAGTAAACCTCTTGGCTGGTCGTCGGTCTTGCCAATAGGCGCAGGCTTAGCCACTCTCAGTTGGGACTTGGACGCTCCAACCCTGCAAGGGCTGCCGCTGGAGCTGCTTTTGTTGGAAAACAGGCCCACATGGCTCCTTGAGACTGGAACGAGCTGGTTAGGTGGGGGAAGGAGCGGGCACTAATTATATTATCTTTTCTACCTCGGGATTGGTAGGTGGAAAGAGAAAAAACTCCTGCTGACGTTTCTCCCTGGTTGTTGCTATTGAAAATGCCAGGTTGCATCAAAAGGTTAGCCACAAGGAAGCGGAAAAACACCCGTAGAAAAACAGTGGAGGGAGCTGCTTAAAGCACGTGAAAAACCTGTTCGCAGTGGCACAGAAAACGTAATGCCAGACCTAAGTGTTCTTTCAGGCCAGCGCTGAACCTCCTCTTGGGGATTTCCAGAGAAGGTGCGCCTGCTGTGAAGGGCTCCCCCTCTGTTCCAAATCCTGCCTCACCCTCTCCTGGCTGGGGAAGCAGCTGTGGACAGTGGGTATGGTCACTCCTGGCCCCTGCTGTCACACCACTTTTGGGACCTGTCCCTTTGACCACTCTCCATAGAAACCATGTGCCACATTCTAGCAGGTGACCTGGCCCACCGGGCCACTGCCCAAAGGGCATAATGCCTAGTTTTGCTGCAGGGAGATGAGCCATCTCAGCACCCCAAAGAGATGGCCCCACTAGGCAGTGACAGAAACATTACAATACTAGGTGTTAGAGCCATGGCCTAATTATACTCATTTACCTGCAAGCGGCGCTAATACCCTCAAGGGAAAGCCCAAAGTAGAAATAAGGAGATGGCAAACTGCTTTAAGAGGTACTAAGTAAAGATTTTTGTAGAACAGGGCTTTTCTTCTCCAAATGGAGAGCAGTTCCTTTTTATTCTGCACTACCAGTTTAATGTCGAAACTGAGTTGATGTAACTTCCCTAATGAAATGCCCTCAGGAAAATGGAAAGGCTAGTTTATGGTCTCCCTGACCATGAAAGGATCCGGGATCAAGGGGGTTAAGGCTGGCGCTGGATCCAGGGCAGCAATTCCTTATATTGTATCAAGTCTTTCCTGCTGCCTGGCCTTTCATGTAGCTCTGAAGCAGCTTTATCGATGTATGCTAAGTAAACACAGCTTTGTTTTTGTCTCCCACCCCCACCCTCCCTCCCAGCGCAGCCTGGAGCTGGATCCCTTCCAAAGCTGGCTGCAGCAGTCACCGCCTCCCGGCGCACAGGAGCGGGGTTTCTAGGGTGAGGCAATGCGTCTGCAATTCGCAGAGACAAGGCAGTAATTGTAATTGTAGTTCATCATGTGATGACTTATGAAAGAGGAAGTCGGTATGTTTTAGTCACGTAGACTCTGCCCTCCTGCTTAAGGCCCCAGGTCCTCTCAGAAGAGAATTGTGATAATCTTTGCCATTCACAGTCAAGGTTACCGGCGCGGCTGACTGAACTCCCACCCACTCCTGCGCGGACAGGCAGGCTGAGGCCGTGTGCAGTGTGGGGCAGTGGGTTGAGGCTGGCTTTTAACCAGAATGCTGAAATGCTGCAACTGCACTTAAGAACTAAAGGAAATATTCTGTGGGGAACACTCCTGCTGAGAGTCTAGAGGAAGCAACAGCCTTTTCCAGCTTTAGTTTCTAAGATTTAAAAAAAAAAATACAAAGAATAATCACAGTTTAGAAACAAAAGGAAAGCCATTCAGTAGGATAATGACGAAGCGGGAGTAAGAGAAGCGATGGGAAGGTAAACCAGAGGGAGCAGCTCAGCAGTAGCTGAATGGGAAGAACAGCTCTGACCTCCCACCCTGAGGTTTCCATGGGCTTCCACTGTGTAAGCATTAAACGTCTAAAATGTGAACCTGTTGCCCGGAGCCTAGTGCAGTCAAGATGCTCTTGTACTGACCGTTGACAGCAGTGTAAAGAAATGGGTCCTACCAGAGGCCACACAACTGGGGAGAGGCTGCCTCCCAGGCCCCAGCAACGTGCTGTGCAAGAGGCGGTGTTCCAGGGACTGCTGAGTTCATGCCTTCCCCCTATATCCACAAGTGGAATCACAGCCTTCATTCTTTAGAGTGCACTCTATTAATAGCAGGATGTTGCAACCATACTGAAGCTTCTCAAACTCTGACCCTGGTGGATTTGAAGGAGAAAAAAAATGCAGTGACGTGTCCTTGGGTTTCTGTGGATACCGTCCTAGGCTCC